TCCCTCTGGCTATCACCACACTATTGCCTGTGTCTATGTGTTATGTATGTATAGTTTCTGGCTCAGCCCTTCCCCTTACTCTGTTCCAATAAAAATCTATTTCCCTTGTTTCAGTATATTCCGCAGTCAGGCCTCTAGGTGGCACCCGCCCGCTGCAGGAAGATACAGGGAAGAGAGACGTCTGTCTTCAAGTAATAAGAAAAACTGCAGTAGAAGTTCTGTATTAGGGTCTTGTAAAACTAAAAAAATACACTCACGAAAAGGCATTTAAAAGTAAATCCATGTAAACTTGCATCATGGTTAGTGTTTTCCAGATTTCTGGAGGCTAGTTTCCAAACTAAAATAAAATGAACACGTGACATAAAGAGTTTCCTCTGCAAACTAAGTGGAAGAGAGTTAAACTGACCGATTTTTGGAGTTTAATTTTATAATGGCATTATATTCCTCAAAGAAATATTTTTGATATTTTCAAAAGATGTGAGAAAGAGAGGTTGAGTCACTGTGAAATATGAGCAATAATTCAAGCTTTATGTGTACAGAGAAACAGGTAATGTAGTGTCAAATTTTTTTAAATGACAACTTCCTTTGAAAGATAACATAGAAAGTGTTTAAGCATTATTGGAAATGTCTGTTTTAACCATTTAATTGGAGAAAGTTAAGTCATGACCAAAATAATATTTATTAATTGTAAAAAAGGGTAGGTGATTCCTCTTCTGTATCTTTTATCTCTCTTACCACAACACCTAGTAAAGTGCTCTGTATCTAATAGTCTTTGAATAAATGTTGCCAAACTGCTCTTTTATTTTTGTATTATTCAGAAAGCAGAGTTTATTATTTTTCACACATTGATTTTAAGGAGTAATGTCAGATTTTTACACTAACTATGTGACTTAAACCAGTAATTTAAACACTGAATAACATTTACATCAAATGAATGTTCTTGGAACATAGTAGGTGCTGAAAAATGGTGCTATTGCAATGGTTGTAATGAAACTACACTCTTCTTTTGAATGATTGGTAATTGATCATAACAGGTTGAATAAAGACTTTTGAAATGAAGAAATAATTAGACTGTGAGAATGGGCTGTTTTCTTAATTCTGATTCTACAAAATAAATTTTATTGGGATAATTCCAAAACATATTGTCAATTTTTTATCTGACTGCTATTCTAATTTTTTGTTTCAACCTTTAAAAATGATAAACCTTATTAACCAAAGAGTGACTGGATTATATGAATATCTATAGTCTAGTTCAAATGATGCCTTCTCCATTAAGCTTTCCTTGACTCCCTCAAGTGGACGTAACATCCTCTTTTCTGAAATTCCTAACCATTAAAAAAACTTATTTTACTTTCAAATAATTGTGGACTCACATACAGTTGTAAAATATAATACAGAGAGATCCTGAGTATCCTTTTTGCAGCTTCCCCCAGTGGAAACATCTTGCTTAGCAATAGTAAAATGTCACAGCCAGAAAGCTGATACTGAGATAAGCCATGAAATTTATTCAGAGTTCACCAGTTTAAAAACATGCAATTATTTCTGTAGGTGTGTATTTAGTTTCATGTAATTTTATCACATATGCGACCACCACCACAGTCAAGGTACAAAATAGTATTTTTAAAAATATATCTTTATTGATTTTAGAGAGAGGAAAGGAGAGGGAGAGAGAGAAACATCCATGATGAGAGAGTCATTGATCAGCTGCCTCCTGCACAGCCCCCGACTGGGGATGGAGCCGGCAACCCAGGCATGTGCCCTGACCGGGAATCGAACCCCGATCACCTGGATCCTAGGTCGATGCTCAACTGCTGAGCCACGCCCGGCCGGGCCAAAATAGTTTTATCACAACAATTCCTCCTGCTACCCACAGCCACCTACCTTCCTCCCTACCTCTATCCTGAGTCTCTAACCCTGGTAACCACTAATCTGTTCTATATCTTTCTAATTTTGCCAATTCAAGAATGATATATAAAGGGAATCATATAGTGTATAACCTTTGTAGGCTGGCTTTTTCACTCAGCATAATTCCCTCGAGATCAGTCCAAGGTGTGTGTATCAATAAGTTCCTTCTTTTTTGTTGCTGTGTAGTATTCTATGGTATGCATATACCACAGTTTGTTTATGCATTCACCCACTGAAGGGCATTCAAGTTGTTCACAGTGTTCGGCTATTATGAAAACAGCTACTATAACATCTGTGTGTAGGTTTTTTTTGTGTGAACATAGGTGTTCCTTTCTCTGAGATTAATGGCATTGAGTACATTAATGGTTGTATGGTAAGCACATGCTTGTTTTTAAAAAAACTGCCATAGTCTTTTCAGATGGCTTCTTACCATTTTTTAACCTCTCTGTATCTGTAATCTGTACTTATGTGTTTTGGACATGTGTAAATAGATCTGATTTCAGCATTGGCCTGTAAGCTCTGTAGGGGTAGGGACCATGACTGATTCATTTTTATAACTTTCATAGTTCATAGAAAAGTATATTGCTTATGGCCCATAAAGGTTTATTAAATAAAGAATAAGATAGTAATAAAGCAAGCAAATATAATATATGTAAAATGGAAAAGAAGAAATTCTTTGGGTAGAAAATAACGTACTGCCTCATGAGTGTATTATGCCCTAATTTCTATAATTCTGGACTTTGCCACAGTACCTTCAAGTATCTAATATTGGTTGACGTAAAATCTTGGTCTCCACTTTCCCATATGGCACACAATCAAGCACACACTTAAGCCGTGGTTTATATCATGATCCAGTCCTCATGCTTGAGCGTATTTCCTGATACATTTATATTTAATATATTTAATGGTTTTCTGATACATTTATATATAAACATGTTTAACAGTCATCTGATACATCTTTATCAGCCTCTGTGTTGCACTTGCGGGATGAATTCCAGAATAGGAATATGCTTCATAAAGCTTTGTTGGTCTCTTCCTGTCTGGTGTGGTTCGGTTGTTTCGGCATCCGCCTTTGCACCAAAAGGCTGCCACTTTGATTCCTAGTCTGGGCACATGTCCAGGCTGCTGGCTCCATCCCCAGGGGGGGCTGTGCAGGAAGCAGCCAACTGACGATGTTCTCTCTCCCTCTCACTTCCTCTCTTTCTAAAAATATCAGTAAAATCTTATTAAAATAACCTCTTTTGGTCTTAATTTTTATAACCATGACTCTATAATTTGTTTGTCCTAATGTAATTTTTTCTGTACAATTCTCAAGGTGGAGGCCTATGAAATGCAATTAGATCTCCATTAGTTGACACTGATCCATTCATTAATCAGTACTTCTTTGGCATAGCTATGTTCAGAGTAAATAAACACAGTAGTCAATCACTATAACTGCCTTGCATATTCCTACATTGCTTCTTTTTTGTTTCACCACTCTGTCACACTTGCTTTTTACCATAATCTTGATAAAATGCAAATCTCCACCTTTTCTTTTTCTATACCATGCAGTTGAACTTGGAGAAAAATACACAACCACACTGACTGATCTAAATTCAAATTCATGATCACAAACCTCCAGCATAACCTTGATGCTTCCCCACTATCATGCTATGCTCCACCATTTACTCTCCCACTCTCCTAGACATCTATTTCACATCTTTCCCTCTCCTCAGCTCTCCTAACATCTTCTTATCCGTTCCCAACTCTACTGCAGACCTTGCTTCTGACCTCCTTCACTGAAAGTTGAAGCATTCTGAGGACACCCTTCACTGCCTCCACTTACCAGCAGCTGCGCCCTCCCTCACGGCTGGCTCTTCTACCTGTTGCTGAGGCACTCTGAATGAAAGCCAATTTCTCCACCTGCACACTAGACCCTACCTTCTCTCACCTACTTAAGGAATTTGCTCCAGTAACTCTTCCCTCCCTCTCCTACGGGGTCAACTTTTCCTTTTGTTGTTTCTTCCATCTGAAAATAAACAAACAAATAAAAACAAAACACCAAAACATTATTTTGATCCCACTTTCTCTACCAGTTGCTGCTTCAAGACTTTGCAGGAAGGGTTCTTAAAAAATTGATCTATATTTACTATCTCCTACACGTCTCCTTCCATTATTCCTTAAGCATATTTCAAAATTTGGCTCCATATCTCCATAAAACTGTTCTCTTCAAGGACGTTTATTCTCTCCATGTTGCTAAATCTAATGGTGAATTCTCACCTTACATGTCTTATCAATAGCACAAGACACAGTTGATTTTCCCTTCGCCTTTGTTAATGTTCTTCTCTGTCTTCCAGGGCACAACACCCTCCTGATTTCCTGCTACTCTCAGACTTTATAATCACAGGCTATTCTTATAGTCTGGTCGCTATCCTTGTCCTTGATCTCTTAATGCTGGCTTACTCCAGGGCTAAGACTTTGTTACTCTTCCATATTGATCTCATTCAATCTTAGTTTTAAATACTATATACATGATATTTCAGATTTTTATTTTCAGTCCAAACCTCTCTCCCCAAATCCAAACTCATATGTCCAATTTCCTATGGGTTATCTCCATTCAGATGTGCAAGAACCATCTCAAACACAACATGTCTTTTCCT